TACTTGATTATTTTTCAAATTGTAAAATCCGAAAATTTGTGAGAATAGATGGAGATTTTTACTCTTTCAAAGAAAAACTATTAGGTTTTGATCAAACTTCACAGTTTAATAGTATAGACATCAGAATATCACACAGTGCGGTAGTAATTTATATTTTCATACAATTGGATACATTTCATATTTATTAAACCCGGAGCGTGACTACGATTCATTAGTAAAAAATAATGTTAAGATGCAATTCCGCATTTCCGCAAACGCTGCATTGTGCGGAACAATTTGCAATGTACTGTTGGACCGATTTTGATATAAGTATTGAATGTTTGGATGGATTCCCAGTTAGTTTACTCACGTCATTTCGGATCCTCCCGATCCACTAACGGCGCTTTTTGGTAACTCAAGCACTGGTCACCGTTTTTATCGAACTCGTCGCTTGAGATGAAGGGTTCCGTGAGTAAATTAACCAAATCCGCAGCGACATTTGGCCGGAACGCGAAGCGCCAAGTTATGGGAATTGTTTTATTTTGTTAATTTAGTGTTTCTACAGATTTCAATGTATAATAGCGGTGGTTTATTAACTGTTAAGTATCTATGAAAGTGCAGAGAGCATTCCATATCTTGGTTACCCAATTGATTAATGTCTCAAATGAAATAAAGTTGCATTTCATTTCGCTCCATATGTATCATTTTTATAAAACAGAATACACAAGGCTGTATGGTGTAAGCCTTCGCCTACCCACTTGGAAAAATTGAATTATCAATCGTCAACTGGTGACATTGAATCATGACTTAATTTATCTCTACATAATTTTGCAAAAGTCCCCTTTTTAAAGATATATTTTTAAATTCTATCTTTCTATTATTTATTTTTGGCTAATGTAAAATAATACTAATAAATTAAATGTATAAGAAATAATAGTAATGTATTTAATAAGGTAACGTTTAAAGAAACCTGTAAAACAAAATTGCATGCAGACATCTAAAGCTGTGCGCACCACGTCAAATTCGGCTATTATAGTTCGAGGTGTATTAAAGCAAATTGCATCGAAAAATCGTGGTTGCCTCGGTCGTTCATTATTGTATTATAGGCTGTGTAGCTGTATCTGGTCGTCTTGTTCAATTGTGTTGTGAAAAGCCTGTTGTTCTTTACTATGTTCGAATCGGATAGTGAATATTTAAGTATTATTGCTGGAGTTGTGTGCTTATTGCGAGTTTCTTAACGTTCTCGATAGCGTAAAAGTTAAGTCAATTTTGTATGCAGTTGGAATAGAGCTCGTAGCGGCAAATGCACGCAAACAATTCCATTCTCATACGAAAATGAAATAACTTTTACGCTATCGAGAACGTTAAAAAATTCTCACTAGGCACACAGAACCCAAAAAATATTCGCAAAGTTATAATATCATATTTATAATTTAATTATAATTTATAATTTAATATGAATTTTATTGCATCTACTACTATTTACTCTGCACAGCCTTTGGTTTTCCGTCAATGTAGTATGAAGTATAATAAAAAAATGACAGTTTTTAATAAATAATTACATATATTTATGTGAACAATTAATTTTACTTGAATAAATAAAACAAATACCACTTTGGTTTAATTCCAAATAGAAATCTCCCGATTTCTAACGAATTTTAACTGGTAAAGTTTAACGNGGTTTATTCGAAGCGAAATTGGGAATAAGTCTTTATTTGAAATAGATAAGCAATTTAATATAAGTAAGTCGATTTTGCAGAGACATGTAACAAGATCAATGAAATCTCAAGGTGGACAAAAATGTCTAAGTAATACATAATAAAATATTTAATATTTGTTCAGAGTGGGGGTATTCATCTGATTAATCCATGGAATAACCGCACACCTAATCTCTTAACCCAGATAGAAATATCAGCACTGTCGATTGCACCTATAATTGAGGTGATGTCTGCCATGTACTTTTGTTGTTGGTGTAACTAAATAAATGAATAAATTAAAACTATATATAAAAATAAAAGTAGTGCCAACCCTAGGAAATTTCTCATTTCGTCCCAATTAACCGCAATTTTCGGGTAAATAGGGATTACACCTATTTTTGCATTTTTTGCTTAAACTGGAATGCTAGTTGCATAATTTTAAATTAGACAACAAAGATGCCCCCAAGACTCAATCANGGAGCGTGACTACGATTCATTAGTAAAAAATAATGTTAAGATGCAATTCCGCATTTCCGCAAACGCTGCATTGTGCGGAACAATTTGCAATGTACTGTTGGACCGATTTTGATATAAGTATTGAATGTTTGGATGGATTCCCAGTTAGTTTACTCACGTCATTTCGGATCCTCCCGATCCACTAACGGCGCTTTTTGGTAACTCAAGCACTGGTCACCGTTTTTATCGAACTCGTCGCTTGAGATGAAGGGTTCCGTGAGTAAATTAACCAAATCCGCAGCGACATTTGGCCGGAACGCGAAGCGCCAAGTTATGGGAATTGTTTTATTTTGTTAATTTAGTGTTTCTACAGATTTCAATGTATAATAGCGGTGGTTTATTAACTGTTAAGTATCTATGAAAGTGCAGAGAGCATTCCATATCTTGGTTACCCAATTGATTAATGTCTCAAATGAAATAAAGTTGCATTTCATTTCGCTCCATATGTATCATTTTTATAAAACAGAATACACAAGGCTGTATGGTGTAAGCCTTCGCCTACCCACTTGGAAAAATTGAATTATCAATCGTCAACTGGTGACATTGAATCATGACTTAATTTATCTCTACATAATTTTGCAAAAGTCCCCTTTTTAAAGATATATTTTTAAATTCTATCTTTCTATTATTTATTTTTGGCTAATGTAAAATAATACTAATAAATTAAATGTATAAGAAATAATAGTAATGTATTTAATAAGGTAACGTTTAAAGAAACCTGTAAAACAAAATTGCATGCAGACATCTAAAGCTGTGCGCACCACGTCAAATTCGGCTATTATAGTTCGAGGTGTATTAAAGCAAATTGCATCGAAAAATCGTGGTTGCCTCGGTCGTTCATTATTGTATTATAGGCTGTGTAGCTGTATCTGGTCGTCTTGTTCAATTGTGTTGTGAAAAGCCTGTTGTTCTTTACTATGTTCGAATCGGATAGTGAATATTTAAGTATTATTGCTGGAGTTGTGTGCTTATTGCGAGTTTCTTAACGTTCTCGATAGCGTAAAAGTTAAGTCAATTTTGTATGCAGTTGGAATAGAGCTCGTAGCGGCAAATGCACGCAAACAATTCCATTCTCATACGAAAATGAAATAACTTTTACGCTATCGAGAACGTTAAAAAATTCTCACTAGGCACACAGAACCCAAAAAATATTCGCAAAGTTATAATATCATATTTATAATTTAATTATAATTTATAATTTAATATGAATTTTATTGCATCTACTACTATTTACTCTGCACAGCCTTTGGTTTTCCGTCAATGTAGTATGAAGTATAATAAAAAAATGACAGTTTTTAATAAATAATTACATATATTTATGTGAACAATTAATTTTACTTGAATAAATAAAACAAATACCACTTTGGTTTAATTCCAAATAGAAATCTCCCGATTTCTAACGAATTTTAACTGGTAAAGTTTAACGATTTTTAAATTTACCTACACTTTTGCCATAGATAATACACTTGACTTTTGCAGCACTGTGTCTTCATGACAAGAAATATTAGATGTAGGTAGGCACGTATGGTTTGAATTGCGTTAAAAGTTTTAAATTATTCAGGACCGTACGATATTTAGACTTATTTAAATAAAATTTTTTATGTGAAGCTTACATAGAAAGCAAAGGAGATGATATTTTCTAAATCAGCAATATGGTTACTTTGCGCTTTGTTGTTGTTATCGGTATTTATGGCAAATTTACTGAATATTATTGCGACAGACCAAAACTTCTATTCAGACAATAAAAATTTATCAGTAAATTACACAAAGCATTTAGAGAGAAAAATTGGACAAATCACAGATACATCGGAAAATCTTATATGGTTCCTACAAGTAAGTTAGATTTTAATAAAGATGCGTAAAAATTATTGTTGAATAACAATAGTAGAGCCAATTTGAGCCAAAGTCATCTTCGTGACGCAAAAGCAAAACATAATGAGTGAAAACACGTATAAAGATAAAACAAAGAAAGTGTTAAAAAATATAAGACTTCTCAGATTTCAGATATACACATCAGTATATTTCGGGATCCCGGGAGAATAACGCAGTTTCAACAATTTTGCGANGCGTAAAAAATATTGTTGAATAACAATAGTAGAGCCAATTTGAGCCAAAGTCATCTTCGTGACGCAAAAGCAAAACATAATGAGTGAAAACACGTATAAAGATAAAACAAAGAAAGTGTTAAAAAATATAAGACTTCTCAGATTTCAGATATACACATCAGTATATTTCGGGATCCCGGGAGAATAACGCAGTTTCAACAATTTTGCGACAGTACAGTGAAGAAAATTAAGCCAATGGCTGTTTTAGCCTCTGGTGATTTAACAGATGCAAAAGCCAAAGATAATTTAGGTAGTTCTCAAGTAAAACAAGAATGGGTATATTACTCTAGCATCATCAAAGAATCTGGTGTTACTGCTGACACCATTTGGCTAGATATCAGAGGCAATCATGGTATGATCTCTAATGTAGTGCAATAATTAAGCCTACAACTTTAGCAATAGGTGTATGAGGTAGCCAAGAGTCAGGTAACAGCTGTCAAATTTTTTTTAATTGTATTCTGTACTATCTCCCCACAACATATTAATTTATCATATATAATAGATAATCAAAGATAAGTTATTGTTGTCAAGTATTAATAAAAAAAATATTTTGTGTAGATTACAATCCATGCTAATTTCATTCCTGTACTTATTTAGCTATCTCTGTAGAACCTTTTTTGTTAAGTTGTAGGCTTGTAATAAAATAAAATGCACCATTTTAAATCTAAAATACTATTTTCCAGATAATTTTAACATAAGAAGTATTAATTCAGAAGAAAATTATTTTAAAAACTATTCAGTTCAAGGGCCAAATCATCCAAAATCTTATTTACATGTACTTGAAAAGAATGGAGTCAGCTTAGCATTTGTTGGTATAGATGCTTGTCCTGAGCCTGGTTTACGGAGACCATTTAATTTTATTGGTATGTTAGATGCACAAGAACAGCAAATGTTAGAGAAACTCAAGAAGGAAGCTGAATCTAAGGCTGATTATATTGTTTGGTTTGGTCACTATCCTACATCATGTATTATATCCATAGAAAAAGATTCTGAAAGATTGGATTTACGTCAGCTCATAGGGAGCAGTCCAGCTTCAAGAGCATACTTGTGTGGTCATTTACATGCTATGGGAGGTCTAGTCCCAAAAATGTACACGAAGCAAAAGAGGGGATTTTTAGAACTTGAGTTAGAAGATTGGAAAGATAACAGAATGTATCGTTTGGCAGCAATTGATCATGGCCACTTTTCGTTTGTAGATCAAAAACACAATGTATGGCCACTTGTCTTAGTGACTAATCCAAAACATGCCAGATACAATTTACCAGGACGGGAACCTTTAAATCTTATACATAGTTCCACATATATTAGGATTATTGCATTTAGTGATGTGAATATAGACATGGTGAAAGTATCTTTTGACAAGGATAGTTGGATGAATTGTCTTCACAAGGAAGGACCTTTGTATGTTTGTAAATGGCTACCACACTTGTTTAATAATGGCTTACATTATTTATATGTTGCTGCTACTGATGAGTTGGGAAGGGAAGCCTTTTTAAAACATCCATTTTCATTAGATGGCACCTCAGTATATTTTGAAATTATACCAAGAATATTATTAATGGTTAACGGTGGGACAGTGGTAAGATGAAACCCTAATTAAGAAATCACATTGTCTCAAATAGAGTACCAAACTAATATATTTTTTTTTTTAGTTTCAGTCAATTTTTGGAACTCTATTGATAATTAATGTTCTGCCTTTAGTTATTTTGCGCTTTCATAAGACCCCTCCGAAAATACGAAGACGGTATGGATATAACTTTGTAAAGAGGGTGTGGCTACTATCAAAAATCGATAGAGTGTTTTGGCCCATTGTATTGTATGCAATTTATTTACCATTTGGTCCGTGGGCCATTGGCAAACTTTTAGATGAACATATTGGAGTTATATTTGCCTGGGGAATAGTTATAAAAGGAGTATTCCTGCCTGAACCATTTACCTATATGTATGGTGGTGTACAACTAATGTTTATTCAAATACCATTAGTACACATTTTGGCCTACTGTTTAGAGATTCGGCTGTTCAAGAGTAATATAAGAGGTGCTCGACGTTTGATTATGCAATTACCATTTATATTTTTACTCAGCATTCAATTGTTATTGGCATATTTTTTCTGGTTGGAGTATGGTACATTGTCATTTTTGTTTGGACCACTGCGGACTTGGAGTGTTGTGTTAACGATACTGCTCTGGTATAGAACCATCACATTACCTGTCGACTATTGCAGGTAATTAATTAATTATATATATTTTATAATTATAACTTTTTTGATACTGATTGTAGATAAAAAGAGAGAAAAAAATAATAATAATAATTATAACATACTTGTCATCCAAAGCCCAAAAACCTGACGAAAGATTATTTGTGAGTTCCAACTACTAATTAATGGTATTGGAAGTAAAAATGAATTGATTGGTTTATTACTTAATTTATTGTGCTGTGAGTGGATGTCAAAAAAGCGATGCTGCTAAAAAAAAACTTCTTTACTGGTGGTCCGGAGGCCTTTCCGGTTTAACCAGGACAGGTGGGCAAAGGCTCAGCCAGGAGGGGTGGGATTTCCTAACAGCTACCCGAGCGCTTCCGAAGGAGACCTAACATTTTGTGGTAGGCAGCGACTTGGCTCTGCCCTTACATTGCTGAAGTCCACGGGCGACGGTAGGTAGCCACTCACGGTCTGATGGATCCGTAAGGACGTGTCTAGGGCGACGACGGTGACTGGCTCCTGCGTGATCAGGATTCGCCGGCAACGATAAGGCGATTATCATGACGATTTAGACCTACTCACAGCACTAGGAACCAATCAGTTCTCTCTTATTTAATTTAGAGGATTCCCTATTCGGAGTGGTAAAAAGAAAAAGAAAAATCGTATATTTATTTGTGTTCTGCTTATTCAAATATGTAGTTATTACACTATTAATTATCATTGTTATCATATTTTAATGGTACATCCCATACTTGATGGATTGACCGCAAATAGTTTACTATCGAAAGCAATTAAAAATTTTTTGGACTCCGTTTTCGAATTGTGATTCCAATTTTTTTGTCACGCTAACGCACACCCCTGTCGAGTCCTCCGGGGTCCACCTGGACCAGTTTGGAAACTAAGGATCAAGACCAAAGATCAACGGTGATAACTTGGTTCTGACGATGTTTTGTATATTGTGGGTAGAGAGTTCTTTATTGTATTTTTTGAGATGGGGCATTCGAGATGAGTCCTTTCATACTACCAGGAATCATTTCGTTCGTCCACTTTGTTTTTTCGGAATCGGAATTCGGCTTTGGGATAAAGTAGGTACCATTTCTCAGCGCTGTATAGTTTCCATTCTTAAACGACATTTGGAAACAGTTCAAAGTGTTAGGCAAGGATTAGTTGTGCCCTCGCATTTCTGACGTTTAGGATCATCGGTGACCTCTCACCGTCAGATGGGCACTATGCTTATATACATTCAAAGGCAATTAAAAAAAGTTTTACTTATAAAATGGCTACATTTTCATAAAACTGAGAATTTTTCAGTTATTCAGGAACTGGTACAAAACCGGTGACGTTTCAGGGAGGCTGGTTTATTATTTAAAATGAAGCGAAGTAAATTCTAATATGTAAATGTTAAAATATTGTTATGCGCTGGAGTTCGGGATAAATAAATGTTCCACCAAAGTACAACTATAAACTGTATTCAATACTTAGAACACTTAAAACACTTTAAAATTCTCAATTCGCTTCGCTTCAGGTGATTCGTTCGCTGTTTCGCTTCGAGTAATTTCGATTACTAACTGACTGCGTGCTATCTCTGCAACGCTTTTATAGTCGATACCACATCCCTAGAATTATCGAGAATATTCCACACATTTCGAATATTGTGTTTCCGCTATCTGATAATAGATGGCGTTTTACTTCTCGAGCGTTATAGATGCTACTAGATCCTTCGATATTCGTTCGACTATTCGGCGATAGATGGCGTTACTCTTACCGGGGTAACAATATATTATGTCATTTAGTTATTTTTGTGTGATGCTACCTACAAGGTAATTTAGCATTGGTATCCATAGTACGTAAGCACTTTCCCTGCTACAACTTACCCGTCTAATACTCATGTCACTTACCTTATTGGCAAGTAATTTTCATTTGATTTTATAAATTTTCCATGCCGCCTAAAACAAGATACTATCAAATACCTATTAATAACCTTTTAGGTTAAATATTTGTGTATGGCTTTAGATATTATTTTAGAATAATGAGGAATTCCCAACATGAGACGTTATTTGGATGACAAGAGTACATACATATTTGAAATATATAATTAATATAACGGACCTATTTAAGACATTCATAGCGTTATTTTGAATTTCAGCAAATTAAGGAAATTGGATCAAACACCAACATAATAAATTCAATGTAATGAAGATTTTGCAGAAGTGAAGCAGTTTTTAACTTGCATTCCAGACGAAACAGATCAAGACAATAGGTATGATATTAATTATTAAGATATTATTAAATAATAACAATTACCCGCGTGTAGACTTTCCGACAGCTTTATGACTTCACACACACACTGTATGGTGTAGATTGTTAATAGAAATGCCATACAAAAAAAAAATGACTAAGCAGTTTTCCTTTTTATAAAGCTATGAACATAAGAGAAATAAAAATAAAAACTAGTCTGGCACAGATTAATCTAGATGATTGATAAACTACGTGTTGCCCTCTTTGCATCGCGATTGCACTCTGCAAGTTTATGAGAAATTCAAATATTATTTTCATTCTTTGTTTGTATTCGGTACTAGTATTTTGTTTTATCGTCCACAATATATACAAACCGAATATCGTTTGGGTATACTATTAACTGTATTAATAAAATTATGTCGCCCAGTATAAGACGTTATATTTTATAAATTTATTTTTCTTTTGTAATTCTTTTACTCAACCAAAAAGAAAGCTTCGCGTTTTGTTTAGAGAAAAGGCCTGGGTAGGGGGAAGCGGTGATCATCATCGAATGTTATGTGTTTGGTCTACCGAGCACTAGAAGTTAATAAAAGTAACACAACTATCAATTATCTTTTATTAATTTTCGTCATAATGACTGAATAAACCAAATAGGAATTGTGTAAAAAAAATTATTTTATTTTATTGTAAGAGAAGCTTAAAATTATTTGTTTTTAATGAATCGTAGAAATTGAACAAAAAAACGGTGCTTTCATCGTATTTACGAGCTTTAACACATTCAAGTATTCTATGCAATTTGTAATTTTGAATATTTTTACCGTATTTAACTATTTGTATACTGAAAGTAAAAGTGATATATAATTATAAAAGTAAAAGCAATATGCGTGACTAACGGCTGTGAAAACTGATGTAATCTATTTAACTTTATTTTCACGTATGCAAAAAGAATTGTCTAATGGCGATTTAAAATGAATTTTGCATCCACACTGTAGCCTGTACTTAAAGTTGAAAATCGCTTATCAAATTTGACGAACCGCGCATTCGTTCCGCAGGTTTCTAAAAAAAAAACTTTTCCTACAAACGAATTAAAATTGTGATATAAATTTCAAAACATCCGTCTGCAATAATTTAAATCGTGTAATATGTTTTTATTAATGAAAAATTTAAACGGAAGTTTTGAAAAATATTTAATTTATTATTATTCTTTTTCAAGTCGAGAACATAATACTTTTGTTTATTCAATTCGTTTTATTGTTTTTTTTCTCCTCCACTAATAGTACTTTTTGTTCTTATTTTATTTACTTTAGGTACATTGTATCTCTACAATGATACTACATAACATTTATGATACTATATTTTATTCGTTTTTTTATTAGACAGCGTTTTAAGACAAGTAAAATTTTATTGTGTCTGTAACGAGAATAAAATGGCGCCACCTACGGGCTGCGTTACTTCGAGATCGAAGTGATGTTAGTTTATATTTTTCGTGTTTATTAAAATAAAATGATTATCATAATGTAATCGAAGTCGTTAACGGCGATTTTGCAATTATTTATTTATCAAAGAAAACTTTTTGGGTACATTATTGTAAACTGAACGCACTATTTATTATCTGTGCCGAAGTTTAAAGGTTTTAAAAAGAGTTCAAGTTGCAAAAATCATAAAACCATAAACTTTGTATCAAAGGAAAAATAATAATCAAGTAACTAGACAATTAAAATTGTACAATAAAAATAAATTATTTATTTTTAGCTTTAAGTAGAAATTGAAGAAAGTTGTTCGTTTTTGATGATTCGATAAATGATTATGTAAAAAAAAAACTTTAATATAAAAAAATCTCTCAATATGGTAATGTAATTAAGTTTAATTTCTTCAGGTTTTGTTTTGGTTTCCGAGTAATTAAAACAAAACATACACGTAAAATAAACCTTGAATACAATAGAATCTTCATCTGTCCTCACCAATTCTATTTAATTATAACTTATATAATGTATTAATCTACGTCAATTCTACAGAAAACGAACTGTTTTTTTCTGTTTTGTTCTAAAACCTTTTTTAGCTTTTTTTCACTTCGCACACAGCTGCATCAGTTCAATTTAAATTATATTATCACTAGTTTCTAGCTGTGGCTTGGCTCGCGTGTTCAAATATCAATGTATTTTCCCGTGGGATTTAGATGTTTTTTCGGGATAAAAGGGAGTCTATGTCACTCTTCTGACCTAGTATTATCACTTTAAAATAGATTTTTTTATTTTTATTGCCCTTGTATGCAGACGAGCATACGGCCCACCTGATGGTGAGTGGTTACCGTCGCCCATGAACTTCAGCAATGCCAGGGGCAGAGCCAAGCCGCTGCCTACCGCTTAATGTAAATCCATCATTCCTTTTTGACGTGAAAGAAAATCAAACAAATCAGCAGACTTGCACATTATTAATATTAGTGTGGTTAATTTATTGGTGAATTCACGCAATATTATTTAATAGATTGATAATAAATGTCACTTGATAGTCTGATTCTAGTCTAAATAGTGTTTATATTATCTTATTATCGGATTGTTTGATGTATTAATCAAAAATTTATAAAATTTACTATTTATGGAAAAAAATATTTCGTGAAAAGATTATTCTACAAGTCAATATAATTAATTGATTTAGAGGCTATGGATTGTTTTAGTCAATATTCGCTGATTCATGTTGAGTAAGATGTCTAATGTACCATACCACCAATAACCATTTTCACTGTTAAGAAGAAACCAGATATGAGGGGAGGCTGATATTATAATATTATATTTATAATATGATATTATAAGTAATAAATATGTGTTACATTAAATTGTGAATTGAATGGTTTTATAAAAAGTGTTGTTTCCTACTTATATGCATGCCTTTTACAAGTAATAAAATATTGATAGGTAAAAAAAAAACTTTCAAGAAATTTGTCATAAAATGGCATCTATGGTTTAAAAATAAATATTGTGCTTTAACACGCTCGTACGTTTTGTTCGCTCCACACAATAAAATTAATTTATTTTAATTAGAATTAGTGTATTATCATATCCTCACAATACGCCAAATACTATTTTTTTGTTCTTAGAATACTTAAAGAGTTATAAGAAAATAATATTTTAACTATAGTATTATTAGAGTTTCTGGTTATTTAAGGTATATTATGAAAAATATAATGGAATATTGAAATCGAAAATCAGTGAATTTTACATGTTTATTTAAAATATTTATTGACTACATGGATTGATAGCCGAGGGAGGTTTTACTATTATTTCGATCAATGGTATACATTGTAATGTTACTTAAATATTAAGATCATAACAATATAATAAATGAATGCATAATATATTCAAAAAGTTAAATATATCTTGTATATTTTACTTTTATAGTAGCAATAGACAAACAGCTTGCGATGTAAATAATAATTTTGTTATTTCTGATTTTATCTTAATTGACTCCGCATTTATGCAAAAAGCAGTGTGAAGACATTTGTTTGTTATCGAGATATTGGATCCTAGTATGTATTATATATACCATAAGGTTGATTTTATAGTCACGTTTTGTAGTCGCGGGTGCGGTAAGCTGATCGGGCGCTATTATAATACGAACGGTTTTGTTTTATTGTTCCGCAACTAAGTGACAAAAGAAGAACTTATTCATATATATGTGTATACACTATTTGGTCACATAGTTAAACTGGTAGGTGTTTGATATTAGTTATATAAACAGGTAATTTAATAAAATTTTCCCAAAATCACAAAAGATTACTAGTGTAAAAAAAAGAATGTACTAGTTCATCCTAATAAGCGTTAAAGCCTTTCAAGTTATTTGTATCGGTTGTTCGGTGCTCTGTAAGTTTCAGCAAATTTTGCCATTCAAACCAGAACGCATCACTGCTACAAATTATTTGTCAAATAGAAATAGGCACGGAAGTTACACTTACCCTCCGATATGGGTATATTATGCCTTTGGACTCAGGAAGCTTGCAGTGATTTATCAACTCTCACAGAAGATAGGGCACAGTTTTTATTTTGTATGTTTGTCACATATTGCACNGCTCTGTAAGTTTCAGCAAATTTTGCCATTCAAACCAGAACGCATCACTGCTACAAATTATTTGTCAAATAGAAATAGGCACGGAAGTTACACTTACCCTCCGATATGGGTATATTATGCCTTTGGACTCAGGAAGCTTGCAGTGATTTATCAACTCTCACAGAAGATAGGGCACAGTTTTTATTTTGTATGTTTGTCACATATTGCACGCAAGCCTAAAGTGGAATTTTGAATTGGGCCTTCCGATCATGCAAGCGGCAAGCGTCATTATAAAATCAGCTTGAGATTAAACGTCTCCATTCCGGTAAAAAAAAGTAAAACGCTGTTACATTTTTATTATTAATAAATAAAAGTATACAATAGGTACATACAAAAATCCAAGAAACTTAAGTATAGTTAAACAAAAATATACAGCTAAATAATATCATTGAATTTTATGTCTTATGATAATATTAAAAGTCTATCACATATGATCAAGAAGATTCACAATAATTTTAATTTATTATGTATGATATTTTTTGAATAAACGCACGGACCTTAATAATGTGTTTTATTTGCGTTTTTTCCGCAACCTCATACGTTTTGCATCTGGCACAGTTTTGATTATTTCCATAAAAGGAATCTATGTTTATCATTTTAAATGTCTTTAACAAATTGTAATTTTAATGTACATGACGATCTAGTTGATGGATTACACTCATTTGAATCTGCGAAAAAGCTACAGCAACCACTCACTACGCTGTTAAAATCAGGAGGGTTTCATCTTAGAAAATGCAGACCTAATGCACCGGAACTATTGAAGTCAGTAATTTCGGATCTATCATGTAACAACGAACATTAAGCTTTTGAACAAGATGAGATTGCCAAAACTTTAGGGTCCTATTTGATTCCAGAGAAAGATATTTTTATATTTAACTTTAACATAGCATCAACGCCTCAAATAACAAATCGAGCACTGTTAGCAGAAATTTCTAAACCTCTTGATCCTCTAGAATGGTTAGTGACAGTGAAATTAAAATGATTTTCATGACTTGGTTATCAATTGGTTATATTCAATTGGGATGATTCGTTACCCAAAGAAATCAACACCGAATGGAAGAAAGCAAAAGATAGCCTCGATAATCGTAGTCAAATAAAAATACGAGGGGGATCTAAACAACAGAAAACTACAGTATGGAATTACATGGATTTTGTGACTCTTCCACCAAAGCTTATGCATGTTATTGTCGTATTAAGAAATTAGAAAGTTCTAGCATTACTTTATTGATCGACAAAACTAGACTTGTGTTGGTTAACAAAGCGTGTGAATGCCGCGACTGAAGTTGAGTGGCGCCTTATTACCATCAAAATTAATGTTGAAGGTCCTGCAATGTTTAAACAGTTATCAAACGAAATCTATGGTTGGATCGATCTGCTGTCGTCCTTGGATGGCTCAACGGTGCTCCAGCTAAGTGGAGAACATTGGTTGCCAATAGAGTGCAACAGATATAATTGAAGTGATGCAGCAATTCCCTTGACACTTCATCAAAATAAATGAAAACTCGGCTAACTGCGCTAGTCGTGGGTGAACTTGATCTCAGTTAAAGGATAATATTTTGTGGTGCCAAGGACCTGCCTGGCTCCGAACCTATTATCAGCAGATTCATACAAAAATAATTTATAGCAATGACCTGGAGTCAAACTAGCTACAAAATATAAACGCGATTACTCGATTGAAGCAATATGACAATTTCCTTGATCGGATGCTAGGATATCATTTATAATAGATAGACGCAGTAAGAATGTCCTATCAATTCATGAATTAAGGAGAGAAACTAGTATTTTTTTCAAGCACTAAGCTCAGCGATTGTAGTGAAGAGATAGCAACTCTGGGCAAGGGCATTAAGAGATTACAATAAGGAAAATTTACGGTATCATTCCGAAGGAGGGTTACGATACATTAAAGGCGAATTTACATTACGAAATTAGTAGCATGAAACTAATTATGTGACATTAGTTTTACCAATAGTTTCATGTGTAATTTAATACTTTCGTAATGCATTAATTTCATGCATGCAAATTAGATTCGTGCCCTGCGCGATTTTTTGGTGAAATTAGTGTCATGCAACTAATTCCATAGTGTAGACACGACGTGAAACTAATGTCGCGAAAGGGCCTGCGTTGTGCGGACGAGTGTATTGTTAGTTCGGACGCGCTTCAAGCGTTGAAAATGGCAAACCAACGATGGAGTACAGAAAAATAAAATAGATCTTATTAATGAATATCAGCGACAAGGGTGTCTATGGAACCCGAAACACCTACAGTAAAAAATCAAAATTATCTTAACTCATTCGAAAATAGTTTTTATTACTCCCAGGATCTTCATCTGCTAATTCAGAGACTAACATCATTGCACCTAAATGCCTTCTTGTTGACCATCCTCGAATCCACCAATTTTTTTTTTCTTGATAGCCTTTTTTTAAGCTCATAGGTAAGCATTTCTTTAGCTACATTGAATATAGCAAAATATAGCTTTGATGCTGACGGTGCCATGGTTACTCCGATACTGTGGATTTCGCGACACTAATTTTTTTACGAAATTACTTTCGCATATATCGAAACTACTTTCGTGAAACTGAGCTCAACATGCATGACACTAATTTCGTAATGTAAACTCCGCATTACACAGATATGAAACCTCCAATTATCATCTATCTATATATATATATATATATATATAAATGTATTGCTGTTCGTTAGTCTCGCTAAAACTCGAGAACGGCTGGACCGGTTTGGCTAATTTTGATCTTGAATTAATTGTGGAAGTCCAGAGAAGGTTTAAAAGGTCGGTAAATATGAAAATCCTTGGAATTAAATAAAAATAAATATTTGGTGTCCCTCGTCGAACGGATTCCTTTTGTTTGTTTTAAGGTTATTTTGTACAAAAGTTTAGGTATTTTATTTCTCGAGTGGGGCACTACGAAGTCTGCCGGGTCAGCTAGTACTGAATAAAACAAGACTTTTAGATCTTATCGTTGATCAATCATATGAGTTGACTTTTCACGGAGGTATTAGTAAACCGAAGCAAGATTGCGACATTGCGTAACGTGCAGAAGATACATATGACCTTAGAGTATGCGACGCCTTGCTGTTGGCGACACAGGAATTGACTCGAAAATTAATAACTGCGATGCAAAATGTATCCGTATGCTATATTATTATAATGTGCGCGCTTGCTCGTATAACAAGCAGTATATTGTTTCAGATTATCCGATAGAAGTAGAAAACAGTGTATTACAAAGATAATCATTATTTGAATGATTAAGTTAAGGAATTTTCATATCAGACAAAGCCATTAAAAACTAATTTAAATATCAATAGGTCTTAAGTACTAGCTACTACTAACTCGATTCCGTTAACTTAGTCAATTTACAGTTTATTAATGAGGTCCTAGTTGGTACCTACGTTATTAGATACATTTATATTCATAAAATCAAACTTTCGACTGTCATCTGCACGCATTATATGCCTTAAACATAAGAACAAAAACTAAAGTAATCTGTAAAACAACAATCCAGATTACTAAAGCAAGAAAATCATAGGTCACACTACCAGAGACCCCCAAATATTCTAGATATTTCGCTGGATTCTTAAACATGCAAAATACTACATGACAGGGTAGTTTTTCTCTTCCATAACCGTATACTATTTTAAGGAAGGCATTGAAACCGTAACGAAAGTATGAGATCACGCAGAGCGGTTGAAGGTACGTCGGTATTTCCTTGTACGGAATGAAAAACTCTGAGAACATCAGCATTGGAATGTTTGCAGCAGGAATGATAAACAGACCGAGCTAAAAAAAAATTAAGGTAAAAGGTTAAATTAAAAAGTATTTTTTTATAGAGAAGTATATTATGATTTTAAGTGATGTGTTATACATACCTTCATTCCATAAGCAGCACCGACTACCAAACCAAATGTTTGGGCCAGAATAGTCATGAGTACGCATATTGTCCACGCCATTCCTACTCTAAATAGGTCTGTAGGTTGCGATGTTAAGTACCATGCTGGAATTAGGAACACAGTGGAACACAGGAGCTGAAAAAAACGAATTGTATTTTTATATAACACTATCCGTATTGTTAGATGTTACCTCAAAAACCTCCTCGACTCAATCGAGTAGGTACGTTACATACGTTAATCATGCCTTCACGGAATCCAAGAAAGCGATTTTTTTTACTTGTAGATCGGTATTTCTTTTGTTATATTTGTAAAAGTTTCAATATTATTAGAAGTCATATTAGATTCCTTGAATTTGGTTAAAGGTAGTCAAGAGTTTCGAGGTGACTCTTAGAATACATGTACCTACCAATCACGTATTTGGGGCAATAGGTATATCAAGCCGAAACATGCTTAGTATCATTGATACCAAAAATGTTAGAACACGTTAAATACCTAGTCCATAAGCATATACTATAAGCACTGAGCTTCAGGTCTTGTTTTATAATACGCGACAGAGTCCTAGAAGGAATCTTGATTTCTCGCGATAAGATTTTTAGCTTCCTAGTGGGGTTTCGACGAATTAACAGCCTTTGTAGTTCTAACAGCACGCGGTCGCCCCTATCTTTTCTGGTCTTTGATAGACGAAGTGTTGTTGTATCTGTTTATAGTACGATATACGAACATACGGCTAATACCAAGCTTTTGAAGTGTCTGGAATATGTCCGACGGCTACATACCCACTTTGTGGAAGGCGATCACTGCAATCCTATTTTCTTTAACACTTCATTCGGTATTGTAATTTGATAATGAACACGAAAAAATATGTGAAATAGCGCAAAATCGAAAGAAGTTTTTAAAATAATGTACGTGTTCCATATTCAAAATAAATAAAAAGTTGAAAATAGAAAAGCTTTTATGTAACAGATGGTATTTATGACCAGACCAGCTATTTAGAAAAAAGTCGTAATTTAAGTCACGTACAAAAACGTATTTTTAATTGTTTCAACTATTCGATGACAGCCCAGATTATTACAGCAAAAGTATCATTAGCCCGTTAATTCAGTTAAACACGTGAGAAAGAGGTAGACAATAACTTTGTTTAACTAATTTCAAATAATGAATACGATTTTTTTTTTACTTAATCGTTGGTAGCCTAAGTGGCTACTCCAAGTACACGCGGACGGGAATATTACAAAAAAATGCAACCATATTACTAAATACATAAGTCGCAAAAACTCAATACCTTTATTGCAAAGGTAAAAGAAGTTGTTTTATGTGCGGCCGCCGGCGAAGTGTTTATGTGTGTGTTCTATGTCAATCAGTTGATATTAAGTGACTGTTTTTAGTTCTTAGAAAGCGATTAGGCCGCCGCACCATAGGTTTGCTGCGTTTCCCCAGACTTCCGAAAGCAATCCGAAGTTATTGAGATTTTTCCATTTACGAGTATTTTTATTCTTTCGTATATTGAACTTGGTTTACAGAGAAAATTTTTGTTGATACAAAAGTTATTCAAGAGTTATCATTTACATAACTTCGACCTAGGAGATACAGATAGTTGATCGTGTGCCAAAAAGAGCTCAATGAAAACAATATCACAGGGACAGGCCTAAATAGGCACTTTGTATTCAGTGTACTCAATTCGTACACGGAATACAAACGCAGTGTGCACTCAATTCGTAAAACCAGCATTGACACGTTTACTTCCTGGTGGTACTAACTGGTGCTAGGGCGTCTTGTGAGTCTATATGGGTAGGCACCAATGCTCTGCCTATTTTTGGCGTGAAGTAGTAATGCGTTTCGATTTGGGCGTTGTACTCTAAAAACTGAAACGTACAACTCATGTCTGAAGGTGGGTGGCGGCATTTACGTTAATAATGTCTGTGGACTCTGATTGTGTCTATGGAATCTGAAGCAATGAAAAAATAAAAAATAAAGCTGGCCTATATTTTTTACTATGAACCATATTACAGTACCTTACATAAAACATAATTCAAGGGTTGGCAGAAGAATAGTTTGTTAGTTATGTTCAGTAAATCTTTATTTCTCAACAATTTGGAAATATTTTTCTCGTCGATTCAATTATTCTAATAGAACACTTCCTACAGTTTTCCGCTTCATATACGTTTACCCTATATAATATGATTTTCGAATTGTACTCCAGTAGTCAATTCATTGATTTTAAACGTACGTTTATAGATAAAAGGCCAGCGGCGTGAAACTTGTTCGCACAATTTAAGTTATTTTGAATTTGCTGGGTCACAGTTCACGAATTCAATCAATAAGTGCGGTTAATGGTTTATAAATGTCAACAGACTTACTTGTATAGGTAGATCTACTATAATCTTCGAACCACAATAAAGAACTAAGGAGTACCATCTGTTCATATGCTGCTGAAGAACGACTGTTGATTCTGATGGAACTAAAAAAAAAAGTTTTGTTATTATCATCGTTAAGGGATGGCATACCAAGAGTCGTCGATTTGCTATGACAACTGAGTGTCTTTGGAGTGAGCTGCGAGTTTGCTTGCAGTGTTGACCGCGGTAACCGCCTGCCTATCTGTCCCGGGTTGTCTCGGGCGGGTTTCGGACGCGTGAGTGAGAGTGCACCGGAGTCGTTTAGTCGGTGGCCGCCAACATCTTGGCAGTCTTATACCGGTCTCGTACCGTACGCATCTTGATCTTTCCACTGCTCTAACCAATCCATTACATCGCTTTATAGATTTTCTGCCTGCATTCGTACATCCAGTTCCTGTCTGTATAAAGTCGCAAGGGATGGGCAGCCTTTTATAACTTAAGGCCAAGTGGCTACCCTTGCAAAACCTCGGTAACACCTTAAAGTAATCTCAAGAGGTGCCTACTGGAGTACCCGTCTCAATCGTGCGATAAAGAGTTTGAGTAGTAGTCTAATTATCATCAGAGCGGAGGGTCCCGTACACGAGTGTTCCATAACACTCATATTCCCGACCGTGATCTCAATGTACATATTCTTTTATAGGTCTCTAGGTCTCTTTTGACATTTTGTAATACTTTACAAGTTTTGGTAGGTAATTTTAGTAAAGTTAATAGATATTACTTTAATAGTTATGTATGCATACTCACACGTATGAATAGTGGGCATAGCATTAGAGAAGAATAAGAATAGTAGAAAGAAAAACAAACATCCAGTATTAGATATAATTCTGTGTGCTTCCAGGCCAGCTTTGTTGTATAGTGCACCTAACAATAGCGCCACTACGAGATGGGTGGCCAATCTAATCTGTAACGGAAGAAAGGAAGCGAATATAAAATATATAAACTGTTGAATTGTAAAACTGTTAAGCTTGAATAGTGTGAATAAAGAAAATAATAAACTTTCCAAGCATTTCTGGACGATACGGTAAAAGGGCAAATATTGTATTTAAAAAAAGTTAAAGAGCATACGTAAACATATTTAATACGTATATTTATTGCGTCGTCTGGTTTTTCGGGCTGGCGCGGGGAGACCAATGTATATGTCCCAATCTCATTGATACAGGTAACTTTCTTTTCTTTTTTTTCCTACCTACGCTGATACCCTTAAGCGGCTATTTCAGCTTCTCCTTGACGTGTAGGTGAGCTCACGGGGCTCAAACCGGGAGTGTGGCTTACACTGACCCTAGCAAGAGCAGTGCTTTGCAGAATCTACACCGGATCCAAAACGCGACCCACTGAGAAGACGAGGGTTCGACGAGGACAGTGACCGGTGCTTGTAGTACCTAAAAGCATCGTTATTGGATCGGGAGGATCCGTAGTCGACTGTTTACCATTCGGTCTACAGGATCGGATATGTAATTCCCAGCGGCGACGACAAGAAGGACAGGTAACAGCTACACTACTCTTCAAAGCGTAACTGTATATTGATTTGCGACAGCGATCGTATCAATCCATACGGTTTCACGGAACGCCTTCTAGTACTCTAGAGTGGGATTAGACTTATACTAAGAGATTAAAATTAAAATGGTGAGGATACCTTTACTACAGACAGACGAGGAGGATGTAATAAGTACTCGAGAACGTAATTGCTGGACAGATTTATTATGTTAGATACTCTTACTGATAAATTCGCAATAATTTACCTGAGTTATGTGTACGTCTCTGACGGCTCCAATGAAGCATCTCCACAGTAGCGCTTTACATTGTTGTAATGAATTTGCGGTGTATGTATGCGAATCCTTAACAGGATACGGAATTAGTAAGGCTTCCGATTCTGGTGAAGATTCTGTTTAATTTTAAAAAGAATATTGTTTTATAACATATGTCATTTTGACATTAGTAAGGGAATACGGAAATACAACAAATACAGAAAACGTGATACTTTAATTTTTTTTGGTATTGAAATCAAAATTTTAAATAAATATTAAAATGAAAATCATGGAACCAAAAACAGATGAAGTTAAAGAAACAGCAAATGAAGAAACAGAAGAAGTCTCTCTCTACGGCACGTGTATATTTGTAGATATAACTTAGTAGGGTAGACGTCAGGCAAACGGCCGTTCGTAAAACTCATGCCATATCCCTATGCTGCATGATAAGGAGTCATGCTACGCCGACCCCACACAATGTGGGATAAGGACAAGAAGAAGAATAATGTTTTATAACATATTAAATACACATACATACATGCTGAAAAGGACAGTTCTCGAAACTGGATATGGTATGTTGTACGTAATGCTTTAAATTAAAATTTATTTTTGATAAATTAGGCATTCTGGTTATGCCTGCAATCTTAAAAGATTTTAGCAATTTTGAAGTGAAATAATATATGGTATATACATTTTAAGGTTTATTCACTTTTATGTAAAATAATCGATTAAGAAAACAAATACTACTGAAAATTAATGTTATTACGTACCTTCTCCATTTTTTATTGAAATGTCGATTTGTATATTTTTTCTCAATTCAATAGCATAGCTCCGTGCTTCACTTTCAAGAATTTGATGGGATGGATGATTTAAACTTGCGACCTCTAATACTGAAACAAAAACAACATTTAGTTTAACGAATGTCAAGATAGTAATTTAAGAACATAATGTACATAATTATGAACGAAGTTCCTTACGGCAAGCTTGGAGGAGATAGGGATTTTGCTGCGCGACCGAACTGAAAAAAAAGTGATAGTAAAAACCGTAAGAAAAAGTCCGTGGAATAAGGCCTTGTTTTCCGCACAGCGATATTTCACTGCGCGATTTTTTTCTCGTAATTCTTTATTTTATTTTTATATGGAACTTCGTTCCTATCCGTTGTCCCACGACACCACACATCTTTTTTATGCCCGTACCATCTGATGGTGAGTGGTTACCGTCGCTCATGGACGTCGGCAATGCCAGGGGCAGAGCCAAGCTGCTGCCTACCATAATATATGTACCGTAATATGTTCTGCTATTACCTTTTATTTATACTTACAATAATCAGCCATGTTATAATATTGTGGACACGATAAGCCAGCTTTTAATAGTGTCCCAGGAATATCTCTCAGTGGCCCAGCATAAAGGGTTTTTCCGTTGGCCAATAATAGGACATCGTCTGCTGTTGCGTATAGTTGTGAGGAAGGTTGGTGTACCACGCAGGCCACGATTCGACCAGCGCGTGCCACTGTCTGCAGCGCTCGAACCACAGACAATGACGACACTGTATCAAGGCCGCTAGACAAGTAAATAGGGAATAATTAACTTAATATTATTTATGAATTCATCTATATGAACGATGGTTAGTCACTTTTACTTGTGGTAGGACCTCTTGTGAGTCCGCGCGGGTGGGTACCACGACTCTGCCTATTTCTACCGTGAAACAGTAATGCTTTTCGGTTTGAAGGGTGGGGCAGCCGTTGTAACTACACTTGAGACCTTAGAACTTATATCTCAAGGTAGGTGGCGCATTTACGTTGTGGATGTCTATGGGCTCCCGTAACCATTTAACACCAGCTCGTCCACCCATATAAGCAGTAAAAAAAACAAAAAAAAAGGTTGCGTGTACTTATGTACGCGCGTAAGAAGTTATATTTTATTTTTATTAAATGTATTTCTTTTTTATTTAAATTCTAATCAATTTGAAAAAAAAAAACGATTAAACAACATCCTCAAACACGCATAAAATATTGGACATTCCTTTTCTTGACATCGTATAAATTCGGTAATTCTCGGTACGGTTCGGAAAGTTCACCTGCGGCTATATTCAGACTCGCCAATTTACGTCGGTCGTATTGTAATGAGCGATTTAGTGGGCAACATCATTCTGTTAATTTTGTGTCACGGTGCGCGCGCATCGTGAAATTTCCTTCTCATCAATTTTTCATAACGCGCCTAAAGAAGTATAACTTCAAAAGTCAGAACTACCCAATAATGCTAACAGAAAAACAAACAGCCGAAACTCAGACTACTTCTCTTGTTTAGGTAGATAAAACAATTATAAAGAAAAGATACTCCTCGTAACTCCTCAAGGGATTTACTTTGGACAGAATATAACATTTTCAAGGAAAATAAAAATACTTGAATATATATTTTTGAACTGTTTACATAGGTATAGGCATCATACAAAACATTAAAATTATATTTCTACTGCCGTGTTTTAAGATGAAATTACATGAAATGATGAAATATTTAATGTTTTTGCAAATAATACCTATATATTATTACATTACATCATTTAATTTATATATTATTACTGATATAGTGCGAAAAATTAAGTATGACTCCATTCCCAAGACTTACGATTATTTACAATGCTACGTTTAGACAAGTGTCATTTTAATATATGCAAAATTGTGATATATTTTTTTAAGCCTTGTATAACCCAACTGAAGAATAACCCAAGACACGTTTTGTCTCCGAATTGGTTTGTTTGTATTTGTTATCCAACTAGTTAAACCGGAATCGACTGCTTCGTAGCAGAAATAGGCAGGGTAGTTGTACCGATCTGGACATGCTCATAATATGACCTACCACCTGTAAGTACATTCTACACTATAACTTTGTCTACGTAGTATAATACATCTAATGAGCTCCTTGAGTTTTTATCTTACTCAACAAACACATACCTAATTGAAAATATAATTTAAGATCAATCAATTATGACAAACAATTTAAAAGTGGTTTTCAATTCAATTAAAAAGATGTAACTTGTTATTTTGACGAAATACTAATTAGTTAATGATTTACCTCGTCGGTTCATCAAGAAGCATAATCGGAGGGTCTGTTAATAATTCACAGGCGATTGTAAGTCTTTTCCTTTCTCCACCCGAAAGACGACTGCACTTTGTGTTAAGAATGTCGTAAATACCCAACTGTTTTGTTACTGATTCCACCTACAAAGATTGTTTAGTTACAAAAATTAATATCAAGCCAATGTCGTATTTGTTTTATATAAATTATTATTAATGTAAAATAGGAGTTTTCAACAGTTTCAAAATATTTTTATAACATGTATACCCAGCTATAAGTGACATAGTTACAGAGAAGTTTATTAAATTATTAGTAGTTGATAGTTGAGATCATTAAATATAATTTGGTTAAATTAACGCTCTGTATTCTTAATGAAGAGCTCACACATGTATTTTAATACCTTTATTTATATTCGTTCTAGTGCTATAATCTAGCATATCTGACAGTGTATTAATTATTTAAATGTGTATTTAAATATAATTATTTTAAGTATGTTTGCAGATTTCACGAACATTTACAAATTGTAAATTAAAACATTGTATGCAGTTGATTTAGTATCAATTTATATTGTAATTAAAGATACAGAAAATGTATAATAATGAAGAATATGTTTAAACGGGTATTTTTGTGGCATAGTTCGAATTTATCAATGGTCACTCCATACTGTGTAGTGTGTACATTAAAACATTATTTTTTTTATGATTGAAGGATTACTTGTGGCCCGGAGGCCTTTCCAGTTTCACCAGGACAGGTGGGCGAGCAAAGGCTCAGCCAGGAGGGGTGGGATTTGCTAACAGCTACCCGAGCGCCTCCGAAGGAGACCAAACAGCTCAAGAGTAGCTGCTTCGCGAATGAATCTACTACCGGATCGGAATCGCGACCCGCTGAGAAGATCCGGCGAGGAACTCAGCGCTCTGATTCATGGGTTAGGTTGCACGGCGAACTCTTTGTCGAGTTCGACGAGTACGGTTACCGAGGTCCCTAAGCCTGCTCCTAGTGTTAGAGCTGAAGACGTCTAATGCAAAGGTTATTGGATCTGATGGATCCGTAAGGACGTGTCTAGGGCGTCGACGGTGACTGGCTCCTGCGTGATCAGGATTCGGGGAGTAGTCAGCGGCGGCAACGATAAGGCGATTATCATGACGCATAGCCTTGTCGAAGTACCGTTCCGACGCTGACTTCATGTATTTCTGGATAGATTCGAGGCCCAGGTCGTCGTGTAGGTCAACGTTCCTCACGAACCACGGAGCTCCGACGGCTAACCCGCAAACAAATTTTCTATTATCTGCTAATGGTTTACAAATAGCTTGTCTGGGATTACAAACCAACTTACATACATCCATCAGAATGAGATCAGGAAATGTATTTATTTGGTCACATATTTGGAAATCATTGGTATCGTTTCCGTTATAAAATCTTGTTTACTTTAAAGTATTTACCGTTTGTATACGTTCTCGGTAGTTCATTTTCGCCAGTTTTAGGCTCGCGGCGAACTTTATAGTTTCTCTTGCGGTAAGTGTTTCTATTAGGGTGGTGTGTTGATCTACAAAAACAACGTTACGGTTGGCACCGAAAACGGAACCCGTTACTCCGGATTTTCTGCAATTGGTAAAAGAAAACTTCAAGAGGCTTTTACTAGTAAACTAATTTTGTACTTTACATGAATTAAGCAAAAGAACTAACCGGTCTTTCGTGTTATAACATTGAAGGGCATTAACTTGAAACTTTAAATTTTAATTATTGTAAATGTTGTTTGGTACTAGTTTAATTACAAAAGGTTTTTCCTACATAATATGTACTTGAGGTATAACAGATTAGTGGTTAATGATTGAATTGATTGAATAATGATACGTATGAAATTAATAAATATTTTGTAGATACTTTTGTAGCGTGATATTATTGGTTTATTATCCTTACTTTCGTTTGGCTATTATTTTGAGAAGAGTGGTTTTTCCAGCACCGGAGGGTCCAAGAATGAAGGTTAGGCGTCCTGGCCTTATCACTCCACAGGCTCCATTAATAATAGTTAATGTTGTACTCGATTTACGATTGAAACATAGCGGAAATCCTGAAACTAATTTAGTTTTGGGTAGATATATTGAAGTCTTAGAAGACACGTCACTACTGAAAATAATTACTATAGCTAACTAATATGATTAGGAATACTCGTAGATATTTTATATTTAATTGATGTACACAATAATATGGTATAGCTTTCAAAAAAGTATAATTTAAAAAAAAAACATTGGATGCGACGGTTGTTTAAGGTACCTAACTATAAATTAAATTGTTAGTTTTTGTTGCCAATTTGTATTTTTTTTATTATTAAGGTCTTCATAATTAATATGGAGTTATATTATCATCATCAACCAACTCCACAGTACACACGCCACAATAATGGTCATACTTTGCGTTCAACTGATTTCAACTGAGTTCATCAAGTCTATGTCGCCATTGAACTGGCCGAATCCATGGGCCGTCTATTGTATGAGCAAACACAATACGTATATAGTCAACTGCCACTTGAAATCTGAACTTTGAAAGAAGGGCAGTTGTCACTCGGCCATTTCAGCTTAGAGCTGATCATTGATTTTGTCTTGAAACGTTTCGAATCTCGATATTTGCCATGAGATGATTCTGCGTAAACCGGAATGCTGTACACATTGACATTTTGTCCGAAGAATTCATCAAGGATTTCAAGTGTAGAGTTTCTGATCATGACTAGGTTGGACAATAAAAGCAAGATGACTTTCTTTTTCGTTTCGTTTTTATTTTAGCGGTTTTATTTTATCGTTGAGTTGAGTAGTGCAAGGTAGAGGGGGAAGAGGTCGACCGAAGAAGACATGGATGGAGTGTGTGAATGACGATATGAGAGAGAGAGAGGAGTGAGTGTTGAGATGACGGCTGATAGAAGAGAATGGAAGAGAAAAATTAGCTGTGCCGACCCCACCTAGTGGGATAAGGTGGAGAAAAAGAAGAGAACTAGACATCGTTGAAGTGCAGTCCATCCAGATCTTCATTGAATAAAAACCTTTCTCATAACTCTCTCTCCAATGCTAGCATAGAACCAGATTTCGGATTTTTTGTATAAATTGCTGTACGAGCGTGAACTACAACAGATGAATTTTTTGAGAACCGTCTATGCTAATCTAGGTCTACTTCCAATGTTTCTCCTTCCAGATGGAATTTATTGTTTAGAAGAGTCCACACGGTAGGGTTCTCTGCCGATTTCAAAGGCTCCACTACCTCATTTCCTGTTCCCAGTTTTGGGATGAAATTTCCCATGACAACGGTGGACGGGGAATACGTTTTTAAAGCTAGACATTACTTCGAAGATGTTTTTATATATAGTAATTTTATGAGCAATTTTATGAGCTTTAAAATTTAATTGTTGTCCAGCACATTTAAACTAAGGTCATTGTAATAAAAATATGCATGCTAATTGGATTGTCCTCAGTATTTATGTATAATTTATTAAAAATTTTATTACCCTAGTAGGCGGACAAGCATACGGCCCACCTGATGGTGAGTGGTTACCATCGCTCATGGACATCAGCAATGCCAGGGGCACGGCCAAGCCGCTGCATATAGCAAGCGGTTATATAATAAATACCTAAAATGTATTATCTCCATATTGAAGCTATAGATAGATAAACTTGCGACACCACATAACCACGATAAACGAACGACAGATTACCACTATTTGTCCAAAAACAAATGTAGGAAGGAAGCGTAGTTTTATTTTCCGCTACTAGATAACTAGCATAATTAATAACACAATTAAAAATATTAATTTTTGGCTGGAATTTGGCTTTTATGTTAAAAATAACGCGCTGTTTGGCTGAAACGAAATAAACTTTATTATTTAAACTTTAAGTTTTGCACGAACTAATTAATTATATTTATCTGTCTACATACAAACATAATATACAAACGAGTTTTTTTTTCCCAATGCTCTTTAATAATTCTGATTTTTATGATTTTCTTCCAACACTACATAACGATCACGACCACTCTGTCAAGAGTGACACGATTGAGAAGAAGAAGAAGAATGGAATTATCAAATTATCAAAGAGTTCGCTGTTATGTATCTCAAGACGAAATTCATTAAGCAATGATTGTTGCCAGTACTTAAATACGTCATTGGGATATGTTAGTTCATAATGGGCCTTATCAGAAAGCTCAAAGGCACGTTAAGATTAATGAAGGAGCCCACTGAGTTTCTGCGAAGCACTGCTCTTGCTAGGGCCAGTGTTAGCAACACTCCCGGTTAGACCGCCGTGAGCTCACCTGCACGTCAAGGAGAAGCTGTAAGAGCTTCTCAAGGCTATCAGCATAGGTAGGGGAAAAACAAGTAAGTAACGAAGAGGATTATGCTCAAGGTTTTCTTGGACGATCGAATCAGGAATCTCAGATAATAGTAGAACTATGGCAATCGACTTTACCTAACTAAATGATTGCAGGGATGGAAATTGCAATAGGAATAGGGCATATTGCGTGTAAAACCATTCCTGGCCAAACAAGTCCTTGAGTAGCAACAGCAAACCGGAAGATGTCTAAAGTACACTTCCCACAAGCTAGACAGACGACCCGTTGAATGTCGCTGAAATTTGCTGGTTTCGGGCAGCGCAGAGCTATGTGCTTACTGCGAGTTCTTTAACGTTCTCGATAGCGTAAAAGTTAGCTCATATTTGTATGGAATGGGATCGTTTGCGTACGTTTGCCGCTAGGGGCGCTGTTCCAACTGCATACAAAATTGGGTTAACTTTTACGCTATCGAGAACGTTATAGAACTCGCACTAAGCACACTTGTCACTGTGATGGACCATACGAGACTCCTGTATTGATGGATGATGATGTAAATGATGATAATGCGATGCCATGACGTATTAAGCATATTCTTGAGAAGTGTATTTAGTTTTTTATTAATTTTTATTTTTGAAAATATTAACAGTTATATGTATTACAGTTCACCGGAAACAGTATTTTGCTCTACAGTCCAGTCATATTAGGGGTTTCCCTTTGGAATTGGCGATAGTCAGCTATAAATTTGTTAAGCCTTTATTTTGATACACAAGTCCTCCATAAGTTGAATCCTCTACTATATTTGTAATAAATACAAATAGCATAAAACCTATAGGAATCGAGATTATTTGCAAAAAATGTGCCAATTTTTTTTGACCTTTAACTTCATATCTGTTGTCGCGGCCACCCTAAAGAAATAACGTTTGAGATAATTATTAGTGTGTCAAAATATTAATTTATGCAAGTTTATATCTTTCTCTATCTCCAATTCCGAAGGGAAACCCTTATTTTGACTAATATTACTGGACTACTATAGTTATCAAAAGCAAACAACTTTGATTTAGAAAGTTTGGGAAGTGATGTCTTTATAAAAAAAAAACTAAAAATACCTTGCGCATTTGTGGTTTTGTATCCCAAATCCAAAAAAGTAATAGCCTTTACTCGTCCGCATTCCTGGGACGCACTTCCCATCTCGATGTTCATTGTTTTATAACTATTAGAAAATGATTACTATCAACTCGTGGTTAAGCGGCGCGCGCGCTCGCCCCTCGCCGTCTTTAAAAGACGANATGTCTTTATAAAAAAAAAACTAAAAATACCTTGCGCATTTGTGGTTTTGTATCCCAAATCCAAAAAAGTAATAGCCTTTACTCGTCCGCATTCCTGGGACGCACTTCCCATCTCGATGTTCATTGTTTTATAACTATTAGAAAATGATTACTATCAACTCGTGGTTAAGCGGCGCGCGCGCTCGCCCCTCGCCGTCTTTAAAAGACGACTGCGACTAGTTCCACGAGCTGCACATACTTATGACAAATAATCTATATAGTAATCCCCCGGTAGTCGACATTCGACTATAATTATTTGAAAATTTGACCACAGAATATAAGCAATAAGAAGTGTTTGAAAACCATAGAGTTACTATTACTTATTAACTCCATGTTGAAAGCATACAATTATTATGCATGCGCATGTGTGTCAAATACATGGTAGTGTGTGTAATGTTTTCTTTATTGATTTAATGTATCTTTTATGCATAATTTAAATAAATATTAACATTCTGCACTCCTTCTCTATTTTGTCTATAAGTGTGGGAAATTTCATACTCCTCCGTCCGCGCAATTTTCGTAAAAAGGGATACAAAGTTTTTGCTTCACGTATTAATATAAGCAGCTGGTCAACAAATAAATGGACTGTTTCTTAAAAGTAACTGCAACCAATATAATTAACTATTGCTATTAACATGTAACCGCGAACACTAATGAACTTATTTCACGTTATAATACGACTGGATGTGTATCTTTAAACACTTAGACTGCAGTACATACGCAGTTTTGGTGCACCTTGAACCTACGAGCTCGCACGAGTAACGGTAAATCGTTCAAGTCGAAAGCTGTACTAATTTTTAAAGAAAGCGTACAAAACTTTATTATTTATTTATTATTTATTTACAGAGAAAAATGTAACAATAGCTTAGGATAGAAAATGTGAAAGATAAAGACCCTGCTCAGTTATAATTATCCTAATAATATTCTTAATAGTAAAGTGAGAGTAGAAATTATTTTTAACAGGAGAGAAATATCAGGATATAACTTTGATTGGACTTACAGGGTGTATTGGTTTGGGAATTGTTTTTTTTTTTTATTGCCCTTGCGGGCAGACGAGCATACGGCCCAGCTGATGGTGAGTGGTTACCGTCGCCCATGGACTTCAGCAATGCCAGGGGCAGAGCCAAGCTGCTGCCTACCGCTTAATACTCTCCAGAATTTATGAAATTATATTATTATATTATTTATGAAAACATAGGCGATTTTTTGACGTTATAAATAAAGCGAATACATATGTTTTGCAATATCAGCGTATCCGTATATGTAGAATTGGGATTTGGGCAAAAGCAATTACTGTAGACTGGGACAAAAATCCCCGTAGGCTAACGAGTACAAGGTTGCTTTGTTTTTGGCCTCGATCTCGTCGCAACGTCTACGCGAAAACAAAATATACTTCATTTGCTTGCAAAAGATACCAAAATTTTAAACCGGTTGCATAATGGCCTCAGGTACGATGTTAAAAAAAGCGAAACCATAATGTTTAAATCTAGGAACAAAGATTATATATTACCTCCTATCGCGTTACATGGTACCCCGTTAAATAGGGTAACCGGATATAAGTACCCGGGGCATTGGGTCACAGATAGCATGTCTGATGAATTGGACATTAAGAGGGAGCGTAGGACTTTGCCTGTGAGAGCTAACATGCTCGCTCGCAGATTCGCACGGTGTAAGGATGAAGTCAAGCACACACTATTTAGCGATATTGTCAGTACTTTTACACCTGCAGTCTGTGGACTGAGTACACTCAAAAGGCGTTTGGAGCCCTGCGCGTCCAATATAACAACGGCTTCAGGGCACTGATGGGGCTGTCTCGGAACAGCCTCCTGGCCGCGATAGGGAGTCGCTATTGCTGCCCTATACTGAGGCACTGGAATGAAGTCCATGTTGGCTCAAGACCAGCCATGATCAATGTAAAATAAATGAAATGAACTAACACTTCAAGATTTTGTATTACTAACGCTTCATATGGAATTTAATTCTGAAATGAAAATTTATTATTATTATTTTTATTATTATTATAATATATAATTATTTTAATAAAGGTTACTCAGGAATTGCAAAAAATATTATTTGCTCTAAAGTTGAATGCCTTCACCTCTTTATCCGTAATTATTAATTACTAGCGACCCGCCCTCGCTTCGCTTCGGAAACATTAAATTTTATTATTGACAAATCTTTCCTCTTTATAATATTAGTATAGATTACTTTATTCTACCATCAATAGTTTTCGCAGCGCAGGCAATGTAAAGAATATTTAGGTATTTTTCTTATACCTTGCGTTACATAATTGGAGTAAGCAAGGATCCCTAATTAAAAATAATAATTATAGCCTATGTCACTGAGGGATAGTGCAGCTTCCAAACAGTGAAAGAATTTTTAAAATCGGTTCAGTAGTTTGGAAGCCTATTCGAAACAAACAAACAAACAAATCTTTCATCTTTATAATATTAGTATAGATTACTTTATTCTATCATCAATAGTTTTCGCAGGGCACGCGATGTAAAGAATATTTTAGGTGATTTTTTTACATCTTGGGTTACATTATTGGAGTTTTAGTAAGGATCCCTAACTGTTTTCAAAAAATATTATAGCCTATGTCACTCGGAAATACAGTAGCTCCTAAGCAGTGAAAGAATTTTTTAAATCGGTTCAGTAGTTTGGAAGCCTATTCGAAACAAACAAACAAACAAATATTTCCTCTTTATAATATTAGTATAGATATCAAAATTAGGTATTCCTTACCGTGCTTGGCGTGGTTTTTGATTCAATGTTAAATTATTTAGAGGTTCATTTTAAAGCCATCGATTGGCAAGTATTGACGACACTAAGCTAATTTCGTTTTGTTGTAATTTATAGTTATTAAACATCTGATTTGTTCTAATGTGGTTTTCAGCATCAATCATTATTAATAAATATTGTGTATCACATAACAGTGTTTTAAAATACAATACTATCAAATTCATGAAGAAAACCTACTAAACCATATGAAAAAACAAAGTGAAGCAATAGTCAGCCGTATTTACTTTTGAATAAATATCACGAATATAAACCAAATCTTATTTGAAAATATTTTTAGATTGAAACATAACTTGGTTCTAAGTGGTTCCTCACCGTTTTTTGTCAATATGCTTGAGGAGTTTATACATTATAATAACTTGTTCATTAATTTGAACATATTATACTCGTTCGTATATGTGTGTTGTGTGCGATAAAGCAACGATAAGTCGTTATTGAATATTATTTTTATCACAGAATAAAAATGATGCACTTCATAATGTCCGTACTAATTATGTAATAAATTGTGGGTATGTAAATTTCTTAATACATAGTTTTAAATTAATCTTATTTTACCAATATTGCTGACGATTTGTTTACAACCTAGAAAAGTTTTTTATCTTTGTTTTTTTCATTTGTGAATAAAATGGAAGAATATAAATGTGTACATGTGTTTATTTTGGAAGTCGAAATTTCAAAATCCCACGTTGATGGCAACGAAACTTCTATAGCTGGAAGTCAACAGGCGGTTAAAGTGGACAGGAAAGCGTTGGCAGGGTTGACAGAATGACAGAACCGAGAAAATCTACTTATGAACAAACAATAGTTTTATTCACTAAAAAGCCCGATATAGGTAGATATGTTTAAGTACTTTGGGAACTTTTTTCGTCGACTCTATTATTCTAATAGAACACTATATATACTTTTACTTTATATACTTATATACTTTTGGGCTTATTTTACCCTTTTTGGGACATCCTATATAATATATAATCTATAAATAAAAAATAAATTCATTTGTCAGATAATACCGTAGCAGTGGTGTTTATTGCCTATTCATTAAATTTAAAAATAAACTATGATGGCCCGTGTATACTCTCGGTCACGTGTCTTTAACATAACCTATTTTCAGCAAATTAATTGAAATTTAGAACGCGACCAGTCTAGAACTTTCTTTGCAAAATGACGTGTGAATTAACTTCTAAACTAAGGCCTCAAGTGCGTTTTCTGTTCTCATTCATATAAAAATATTTGTAAAGTACTCAGACGAACATTCTAAATTATAATAGTATTATTATTTTAAAAAAAACTTTACTTTTTTGTTCAATGTCGTTTTTATAATATCAGAACTTGTTTTATGACCTATACACGATGTGAATCTTAATATCGTACTTACACGGATATTACATGTTTTAAAAAGTTGAAACAAGTATAAATTTGCATATGTAGATATTAGCTGTGTATAATAGACATTATAATATTAAATTATATAATGTTCGATGGGGAGTGCTCTGAAAAATTGTTTGCGATGATTCCTTCATCTCGTTTTTACCATCGCACCGCCCGCCACCGGAGTAGAGTTCATCCATACTACCTGGAGCCACTGCATCATTCGCAGTGCGTTTCCAGATATCTTTTTTGCCACGTACCATCTGGCTTTGGAATGAACTCCCCTCCACGGTGTTTCCCGAGCGCTACGATATGTCGTTCTTCAAACGAGGCTTGTGGAAATTACTTAATGTTATGCAGCGGCTTAGCTCTGCCCCTGGCATTGCTGACGTCTATGAGTGACGGTAACCGCAATACCGAATTTAATCAAAATCGGTTCAGGGTTTTGGGCACGAAACCGAAACTGACAGACAGACAATATTTATAATGTCAGTATGAATTAAATAAATTGGCAGTCATTAGGACTGCCGATACAAGTGAAAACTTACATATCCTAGTATTTTACTATTAAAATATGAAATTTCATAATGTTTAAATAAAATTAATAACTTTATTCTGGTTTTCACATCTGTTGACACTTCGAGCAACAATTATATATACGAGTATATAGAAATGTTTCTCGGTTATCTGTATATATGGTTCATTTATTAATGAAATATATTGCGGGTTGTACAAGATCTTGACAAACTACAAATAGAAATTTAATTGAAATA